TTTTTTATTAACACTGAGTCTCTTCGGGAGACCCAGACCTTAAAATTAAATAAAGGGGATTCCCAGACGGTTTTTTTAACATATCAAATGTGCTCTTCACTATTAAACCAAAATACGCACCAAAATACTTTGGTTAACGTTCTCGAGAACCGAAGTCGTGTAAAATTTGATCACTACATTTCTAAAATGAACCAATTATCTTATTGTGCAAAGGGGAGACTGCAGAAGGGAAAACATATTTCGACAAACTCAAATGGGCGGAAGACAAAACAACGGTGAACACCTGTTGGAAAAACATCAAGACATCATTGCATGGAATAAGAGTATCCAAAAAAAGATGCTATCTCAGGTCATTGAGGAAAATGAAACCTACCAAAGTTTGCCACCTCCACGATCTTGAGAACACATGCGCAGAGTGTTTCTACTTTAAGCAAATGGCAAAATTTTTCTGTGTCATGTAACTTCACAAAGTGACAAAGAGACGGAGTTGGAAACTATGTTTTAAAAATTTCCCAGTTTAAGAGTCTACGGTCGTATACACACCGAGAGCAAGTTGTTTCTGCATTTTTATATCTATCCATGTTTGCAATACTTCACGGCGGTGAAGTTTTTTAATATTTTGTAATAATTCCAACTCCTTTATGATTACTTTAAACATTTAAATTTTGGCTTCTACAAGCAAAAAAGGGTGCTCCCACAGAAATCATCATAAACAATAATTTACTTCAAAAAAATATAGGCTTCGCTTAGCAAAATCAATAAAACAAGCCTTTCAATTTCCTTCAAAATTTACACTTCAGCAGAAACAACAAAAAAGGGTTTAAATTCCAAGATGACTAACCACTATGGATGAAGGAAACCAGAAATATATAACTTCAAAAGAATAATAATAACAACAAATCGACAAAGAATGCCTCCACTAACGAATTAAAAAAGGGACTCATGGCGAGCATACAGGAGTGAATCAATCATGTTTGTAATAAAACATTTCTATTACTGACCAAAAAAAAATAAGTAAATGAATAGTTATAAAGAGCTTTAACTAAAATGTGGCGAAATGAAGAGCCATCCGAAACAAAATTTAAATAAAATTAAACAATAGACCTTTTAAAAAAGGTAGATCAAACATCAACTTCTAACCTAAAATTACCAATAAACAATTAAGGGTGCAACAAGTCTGACGGTTAACATTCTATTCCACAACATAACCCCTACAACACATTAGAATATTAAAATCAAAAACATCGAGAACCACATATCACCACCAAAATGCAATCATAACAACAATGAACAGCAGTAAAAAAGTAGCCTCTGAGAGTACTGAGTCATGATGAACGGTGATAAATTAACAGATCGAAAACGCAAACGGGTAACCAAGACAGAAGAGACAAAAAGAAGGAAAACATATTTTACAGACGACCCTCTTACCAATCTAATTGGGACAAGTAAGTTTTTTGCCGATTCAAAATTATAATCAGAATATCGAAGCACCTAACTTTGGCTCAGTGCTAATTAAAATATTAAGCAGAAGCAACTTACAAAAACGTTCACTCTTGATACAGGTGTAGCTGCGTCAACTGCAAATTGTCCACCCTGGATTACACAAAAGCGAGGTAATTATAGGTGGCAAAAGGTTTGAGAAACGACAATCATTCATGTCCACCTAATGTAAAACATATTAACCAAAAAAAATTGCAGATGAACAAAGCAATGCCCGCCAAATACGACGTGCTATTATACAATCCAAGAGAGAACATAGAAAACAAAAAGGAAGACCTCCACAAAGAAATGGTAAACAAAAAAACAGACGCTTTAAAATATAACTATTGCACATGTTTAAAATTTCCAACAATTGTAGGCAATGAAAAACAAGACACACCTGAATCTTCAACAGCTCATTCCGAAGGCATTAACGGAATGAAACAATGTCCATTTTGTGACGCATTGGTCTGGAAACAAGAGCAAATGGGAACAAAAGGACCAAACAAAGTTCCACTATTTACTATATGTTGTCAACAAGGACGGGTTAAATTATCGCCGGAGCCACAACCACCACCAATACTGAAGAAACTGCAAATTCAATCATCTCACTACCAGCAAAATATAAGGATTTTCAATTCACTCCTGGCGTTCACATCAATGGGTGCAAAGTTGGATAAATCTGTGATGAACAAAGGTGGAGGTCCCTTCACTTATAGAATTCATGGGCAGAATTACCATAGAATTGGATCTTTAGTGCCAGAAGAAGGACAAACCCCAAAGTATTTGCAGCTATACATTTTTGATACAGCAAACGAGGTGAAAAACAGAATTTCAACGGTAAATAGGACTACAACAGTCGGTGAACTAGATAAGAACATTGTGAGGGATCTTATTACAACAGTAGATACTTACAATAGTTTGGCAAAGGTTTTCAGAAAAGCCAGAGACGAATATGAAAAAGGGGATTCGCAAGAGCTGAGAATAAGGTTAATCGGCCAGAAGAAACGGGGCAGGCAATATGACTTGCCAACAACGGATGAAATAGCAGGTTTAATAGTGGGGGATTTTGAAAACACTATAGGAGAAAGGGATGTGATTGTAAGGCATCAGTCATCTGGATTACAAAAGATCAGTGATTTACACCCTCTGTTCATGTCTCTACAATATCCACTATTATTTCCATACGGCGACATTGGATTTCACGAAGGAATACTTGTGGCTGAAAGGGAAAGGAATACCAGGAAGAGAACATTCATCACTAAGCGAGAATTTTATGCTTATCAGATTCAGACGCGACTAACAGAGGGGATGACAATTGTGAGATCAAAACGACTACTGCATCAATATATAGTCGACGCATATACATCAATCGAACAAGAACGGTTACGTTGGTATCGCAACAATAAAAAAACATTGAGAGCTGAACTCTACAACAACGTCAAAGATCCAGTAATCAGGGGTGACACAGATGCAAAGTCAATTGGAAAAAAGGTGATATTACCAGCAAGCTATACTGGAAGTCCACGTTACATGGTGGAAAAATACCATGACGCAATGGCAATATGTCGGTGGTACGGAAAGCCAGATTTATTCATAACAATGACCACTAATCCAAAGTGGGAAGAAATCACAAACCATTTGAAGACATATGGGAAAGATGCAGCAAATGATAGGCCGGATTTAGAATGCAGAGTTTTCAAGATAAAGCTGGATGAGCTGTTAGCAGACTTCAACAAAGGCAAATTTTTCCCAAAGCCAGTCGCAGGTAAGATACTCTAAAATAACTCTGAAATAATTATACTAGAAAACTAAACCACTAACACAAAATATATATTTTGTCCCTTTAAAACAGTGGTATACACAATAGAATTCCAAAAACGAGGACTACCACACGCACACATCCTTTTGTGGCTACAGGGAAATCTAAGAAATCCAACACCAGAGGATATAGATAGCTTAATTTCTGCAGAAATGCCGGATAAAGAAAAAGATCCAGAAGCATACACACTTGTAGAGCAACACATGATGCATGGACCTTGTGGAAAGGACCGTCCAAGATCTCCTTGCATGGAAAAAGGTGAATGTTTGAAAAAATACCCGAGACCATTTGTTCAGAACACAAGACTTGACGAGTCAGGGTATGCTTTATATCAAAGGCGAAAAAATGGCAGATTTGTGATGAAGGGAGAGACCAAACTGGATAACCGATTTGTCGTGCCACACAATGTCAAGCTTCTGAAAAAGTACAAAGCCCACATCAATGTTGAATGGTGCAATAAGTCTTCAGCCATTAAATATCTCTTCAAATACATTACAAAAGGAGTGGATAGAGCTACATTTATCATCCAAAAAGAAGGCAATGAGGATGCAGGAACACAAGGTCGCGGTGGAAAGGGGAAAATAAAGGATGAAATAAATCATTATTTGGATTGTCGGTACTTATCAGCATGTGAAGCTATGTGGAGAATATTTACATTCAGTATTCACCACCACAACCCTGCAGTTCAAAAGCTACCAATTCACCTGCCTGGACAGCAAAGTACAGTATTTGATGAGGAAGAAACATTAGATAATGTGAAATTTCGTTATGCACATGGGAGGACAATGCTTACGGAATGGTTTGAATTAAATAAGATCTCTGAAGATTCCAAGAAATTAAGATATGTCGAACTCCTAACAATGTTCACATGGAATAATAAAGACAAAATGTATTCAGTGAGAAAGCAAAGAGGGAGCATTGGCAGAATTGTCAACATTCTACCAAGCGCTGGTGAACTATACTATCTTCGAATTTTGGTCAACATATCGAGAGGGCCAACAAGTTTTGATGATTTAAAGACGGTTGGAGGCCAAATACAGACTTCTTATAAAGCTGCATGCTATGCTAGGGGTTTGCTAGAGGAGGACAAAGAATGGCATGATGCCATGGATGAGTCATCACAATGGGCAACAGCTTACCTACTCAGATGCCTATTTGTCTTGATGTTGATATACTGTGAGGTATCAGAACCAGTCAAACTTTGGAATCATTGTTGGGAAAACATGGCAGAAGACGTGTTGCGGAAACAAAGAAAAGTTCTGAGTTTCCCAAAACTACAACTAGAATCCCCACAACTACAACATTACACATTGATTGAAATTGAGAATCTCCTACGTCAGCATGACAGATCATTAATGGATTTTTCAGATATGCCCAAACCAAACAAGACGATTTTGGAAGAAATCAACAACTCAAAACTTACGCAAGAGTTTCACTTCAATATTACTGAAGAGAAGGAATTACATGAGAAGTTATTGAAGAAGCTCAACAAGGACCAAAAAATCGTTTACGATAGTGTGCTCAAATCAGTGCTAAATCAAGAGGGAAAACTATTCTTTATCTATGGAGCAGGAGGAACCGGGAAAACTTTTTTGTACAAGACTATTATATCTGCCTTAAGATCAATGGAGAAAATGGTCATGCCTGTTGCATCATCGGCCATTGCAGCATTACTGCTACCAGGTGGGAGGACAGCACATTCAAGATTCAAAATACCACTAACTCTACATGAGGATTCTGTTTGCGATATAAACACTGGATCAAAGCTAGCTCATTTACTGAGTCAAGTGGATCTTATCATTTGGGATGAGGCCCCTATGGCACATCGCCATACATTTGAAGCATTGGATCGCACAATGAGAGATATTTTATCAAAAGGAGAAAAAGCAGCATTGGGGAAAACATTTGGTGGGAAAACAGTGCTTTTAGGTGGTGATTTCAGACAAATCTTACCAGTGATACCACAAGGAACAAGACAGGAAACAGTTTCTGCTGCCATCAATCGGTCATACCTATGGGGATCATGTGAGAAGTATTTGTTGTCAAAAAATATGAGATTACAGCCAGATGAAATTGCTTTTGCGGAGTGGATCTTGCAAGTAGGAGATGGACTTGCTACCAAAAAAAAAAAGGGACCAGATGATTATGAAGAAGAGGACAACATTGAAATTGACGATGCCCTGATGCTTCCAGAAACAAATAATCCACTAGAGGTGCTATGTCAATCAGTCTTTCCATATTTTGAAAAAGCATACCAAGATTTGACCAAGCTTCGAGAATCTGCTATTTTAACACCACGGAATGAAACGGTCGATGAAATCAACGCTTATCTACTATCTAAAGTACCAGGACCACAGAAAGAGTACTTAAGCGGTGACAGTGTTGGACAAGATGAAGCATATGCAGGAGGTTCAGGGAAGAAGAAGAAAATGCGT